GCAATGAATGTACAAATGTGCTTTACACAATTGATGTATGTATGGATTGTGATAAGAGTTGTATGAGCCACCAATAAAATGATTAATAAATAAGTAAATATATTTTGCTTAAAAAAAGAGAGAGATACTAATGATCTTAGAAAGAGACTATCCACCAAACTTTAGTATTACACCTTTTCTCTGTGTGCCTTCTAAGTTTCTCCCTCCATGTAATTCCTAGAGCCTATTCTTCGGGTCCCTGTTCAGGGTCCTTGTTTTGCCATTTCTCCTTCTACATTCAAACATGCATGAATATCCCTAAAAAATATAAAACCTTTTGGAATTTGTCTTATTCTATTCACTGCCAAGCCATTGTTGCCTTCATATCTATTTACCTTTTTAAAAAAATTCAAATTAAGTAGATAATATATTCACATGACTTAAAATATATATATATATCTGAATACAGCTGAAATCCCCCACCTGTGTGTCACATTCAGGCAGTTTCTATATCACCCCAACATGAAACTACTCTTAGTAGTTTTTAGGGTTGGTTTACTCTTTGGTTGGTTGCTTAGTGTTCCATATAAAACCAGTATAAAAACATTTTCTTGCTTCACTTTTAAAATGTGAACAGTTTATTGTGTGTATAGCTTTGTGTTTGCTCTTTTTTTACTTAAAAGAATTAGAGTGTACCACATCAGCATGTAAAGAAGTTCCTTGTTCTATTTTTTATATCTGCCTCTTATTTTACTGTGATTCATGATTTATTGAATCTGTTCATTGTAGATGAACTATTTTTATTATTTATATCCTCTACAATTCATTTTAAAACATTTCAAGCCTATAGAAAAGTTACAGGTAAAGGACATTGGATATAATATACTGGATATATTGGATACATATAACTGGAAGCGCCAGTTATTATTATTTAGCCTCTTTTAATTAAATACTTTTATTGGGGACTCTTACATCTCTTATCACAATCCATCCATTCATTCATTCATTGTGTCAAGCACATTTGCACCAATGCTGCCATCATCGTTTTTATTTATTTTTTTGCCATCATTTTTAAAGCATTCTCTTCCCACTTGAACCCCTGATATCAGCTCCCCATTTCTTTCCCCTCCCTCCACCACCCACCCTTCCTCACGAACCCTCGATAAGTTATAGATTATTATTTTCATATCTTACATCGTCCTCCATCGCCCCCTCATCCACTTTTTCATTGTTATCCCCCCTCAGAGGGTGTTATAGGTTGATCCTTGTGATCGATTCCCCCTTTCTCTCCCCCACTCTCTCCTAATCCTCCTGGTATCTCTACTCTCCTTGTTGGTCCTGAGGGGTTTAGCTATCCTGGTTTCCCTGTGTTGTGGGCTCTTATCTGTAGCAGTGTGCATGCTCTGGTCTAATCCGATTAGTTAGGTAGCATTGAGGTCATGATAGTGGGGAGAAGGAAGCACCAAAGAACTAGAGGAAAGTTGTGTGTTTCATCAGTGCTATACTGCATCCTGACTGGCTCATCTCTTCCCTGTGACCCCTCTGTGGGGGGATGTCCAATTGTCTACAGATGGGCATTGGGTCTCCACTCCACGCCCCTCCTCCCCCATTCACATTGGTATGATTGTGTTCTGGGTCTTAGATGCGTGATACCTGATCCCATCGACACCTCATGTTCACACAGGCTGGTGTGCTTCTTCCATGTGGGCTTTGTTGCTTCTCAGCTAGAGAGATGGCCGCTTGTTTATCTTCAAGCCTTTAAGACCCCAGATGCTATATCTTTTGATAGTTGAGCACCATCAACTTTCTTCACCACATTTGCTTATGCACCCATTTTGTCTTCAGCCATCGTGTTGGGTAGGTGAGCATCACAGAATGCCACATTATTAGAACAAAGTGTTCTTGTGTAGAGGGAGTACTTGAGTCAAGGCCCAGTGTCCATCTGCAACCTTAATTCTTAACATATAGATATGGGTACATAGTTCTATTCCCCTCTCGTTATATATCAATATATTTACATATGTACATTCCTATATTTAGACCTTTATAAATGTCCTTTGCCTCCTGGTTCTTTCCTCTATTTCCTTTTACTTTCCCTCTTGTCCCACCATCATGTTCGGCCTTCATTTGGGTTTAGTACTTCCTCGCTGTCACATTGCCCTTGTTTAAGCCCCACAAGGCATCCTGGGCCCCTCTCTCCATTGATTTTAGTTCACTTGTTCCCCTGTCCCTGGGTTGGTTCTCCACCCGCCTTCCTTTCTCCCACCTCCCCTTCTCTGGAGGCATCAGTCCCATTCTTTTCATCTGTGAATTGTTTATCCCTCGTGTCTTATCTAGATAGACATGCAGAGACATTAATAAGTGCAAAAACCAGGAAAAGCCAAATATTTTGCCCTTTTTTGCTCTCTTTATTCACACATACACTGAACCATTTGAAAATTAGTTTCAGACATCATGACATCTCATCCTTAAATATTTCAGCATATATTTCCTAAGAGTATGTACACTTTCCTACATATGCATACCACCATTATGGTACACCAAAAAATTTAACATGTATACAATCCTGTCATATAATATGTATCAAGCCCGCATACTCCTAATGACTCCCCCAAAGTAGCTTTTTTCTCCTAATCAAGGATCCAGTCAGGAACCACATGTACCGCATTGTTATCTCATGTATTTAATCCCTTTTGCTCTAGAATTAGTCTCAGCATTTTTTCCCCATCTTTTTATAATATGATGTTTTTGTGAGGTCCAAGCTGGTTTTTTTCTGGAAAGTCCCATAATTCAGATTTCCCCGATAATTACCTCGTGATTGGATTCAAGTTATAAATTTTGCCAAAAATACTACATAAATGATGTACTTTCTGTTGCATTCCTTAGAGTGTACATATTGTCCGTTTGATTCAGGTTTGATTAAGGTACTGGCTACCAGATCTCTTGATTTTAAAGGTGCATTTTTTTTCGTTGCAGTTCATATTTATGGCATGATACTTTGAGGCCGCATGACTAGTAACCCGTCTTTTACTTAAGGGCTTTAGCATCCACTGATGCTTCTGGCTTAAATAGGCTACATTACTAGTTGCACAATGATTTCTTTCATGAGTTTCTTCAAAATGATTCTCTAGCATTTACTCATAAATAGCTCTCCCTTCTCCTACCTCATTTTTATGTTTATATATCACTATGAACTAATAGAATTAATATATCTTAAAGCATATTAATAAGGTCCATTAGTTCTAGTTTTTTGTTCATTTTTTTATGCCCACATTTGGGCAGTAGAGGCTATTTCAGCCAGGTCCAGGGCCCTTTAATATTTCTCCATAGTCTTTGAGCAGTTACTTCCTTCCCGTCATAGGACATTTTTTAAAAAAATATTTTATTAACAGCATTGTTTTAAGAAATGCATGAAATGCAACATTGATTATTAACACATATACAATTTTACATACAGGATATTTTTTTAGGCTTACCTTGTCCCTTAGGTCCCAAGGTGACACATGCGGTTTACACTTGACTTTATGTGCTTAAGTTTGCAGAACAGTGCAGAGTATTTCATTGGCACCCTAAATTCTTGGAGGAATAATTTCAAGACATTCTACACACTGAGAAAGCACACATACTCACTACCATCCAATCAAATCTGTCTCATAGCAACCCTATAGGACAGGACATATTTCCAAGTCTATAACTCTTTATAGGAGCAGAGAAGCCTCATCTTTCTCTCTCAGAATAGCTGTTGGGTTTGAACTGCTGGTGTAGAGATTAGCAGTTCAACACATAACACTGCACACCATCAGGGCTCCTTGATAACATATACAGTGCAGTGGAAATGAGCCAGATAGTCCACCAATCTAGGACCACTTTAAATTCATGGGTTTGGGCACCAAGGTAGCATGTAAGGGCTGTAAATCCCCAAGAAGGGACAGTTTTTAACTTGGGAATTTGGGGAAATTTCTGTCCCCCTAAAGATCACCAAGATTAGAGGAAGGCTTTTTCCCTTGTGTAAGAGTGGGGTTTATTGGATTTTATTTTCCTACCTTCTCCTGATGTGAAGTATAGTCCTCTGTGCAGTCAGCTGAGCTCTAGGCTTTATCGTCTTCCGTACATCCTCCCGGGGCGGCATGAAGGCATCACAGACTTAGAGGAACAGTCTCAGGCAGCTTTCACCAGCTGCCTGTCATCTTGCTTTTAATCAATATTTGCCATTGAAGGTGTTTACATTTTTACCAGCTGAGCTGGTAAAATATTTGAAGGGACTTCGGAATGTTCAGAAAATGCAATTAAAAAATAAAAATATTAACTTTATTTGTCAACCTAAAGTTCCCTTAAAGACAAAACACTTTTGAAAGTAATAATTCCAGGTATTTAGCCCATCCCTAAAAAACTGAGAGTCCTGGGAATTTAACCATGTGAATGCAATCTTTTTTTTTTTTTTAATTAACTGAAGAAAAAGAGTGCCGTTTTAAAGGTTTTTCTATGCTCAAAAACCAAAAGAAAGAGCCAATTCAGAACTGTTAAGTTGAATGTCTGGTGATTTCCTATCAAAACTCTCAAAAACTGTCTTTGGTTTGATGAGAGAAATGAGCAAGAGCATTGTGGTGGAAAAGAATTCTAATAAAGCTTTCCCAGATGTTATTCTGCTAAAGCTTTGAGTATTGTTTTCAGAACACTCTCAATAAACAGATGTTACTGTTCCCTGTCCCTCCAGAAAATCAACAAGCAAAAGGCTGTTAGCATCCAAAAATATGTTTCTGTGACCTTTACTTTTGACCAGTCTGCTTTTGCTCTGACTGGACCACTTCTGTCTCTTGGTATCCATTGTTTTGATTGTGCTTTATCTTCAGAATCAGTACTAGTTGGGCCATGTTTCATCCCCTGTTATAATTCTTCTTAAGAACTACTTCAGGATCCTGATCGTAAATGCTTAAAATTTTCATTGAAAGTACTGCCGTTGTCGCAGCCGATCAAGGAGCAACAGTTTTGGCCCCCATTGCGCAGAAAGTTTGGTGAACTTTATCAGTCAGAATCATGTAAAGTCAGTCAGTTGAGGTATCTTTGGTGTTTGGCACTTGTTTCTGCTGTTACTCATCAGAAATCTTCAATTTTGGAGCAAATAAGATGATTTCATTAAAAATAGATGTGGATGCACACAACACATGCACAGGTACATGCACACACACAACCCCAGGGGGACAAACAACAGAAATTGTGGGGGAAGGGAGCAGCAGTCAGTATAAGATATGAAAATAATAATAAGTTATAAATGTATCAAGGGGTCACAAGGTAGAGGGGCAGGGAAGAAAGAGCAGCTGATACCATGGGCCCAAATAGAAAGTAAATGTTTAGAAAATAATGATGGCAACATATGTACAAATAAGCTTGATACAATTGTTATAAGAGCCCCCAATAAAATGATCTTTTAATAAAAAGAGAGAAAGGAAGAAAAAGCAAACTTTAAAACTTGTAGGAAAAAAATTAGAGAATGTTTTTATGGTCTTGGGAAATACAGGCTTAAAAAAATAAGGCAAAAAAGCTGAACACATAGAGGAAAAATGATGTGGATGATCTGTCACTTGGGGCTTCCCCGTCAGCATCATCTTGTCCCTTCATAAAACAAGTTATCCATTTGTAACATGCTTAATTTACTGGGGGCATTGTCCCCATCAACTGTTCATAAAGCACCAGTTATTTTGCCATTCTGCCTCCCAAACGTCATCCTAAATTCTGTTTGTTCTTGCTCCGAACTCGTGATAGAGGGTCTTTTCAAACAGCTCTCTTAGCCTTCTTTCCTCAAACTAGCTCCAATTCAGACATGCTGAAACAAGTTCACTTGAGTTTGTCTTGACAAGGAAAAAAGAAATTCACATAGTTTTAAAAGAATTTGCATTTTCCATGAATTTTTTGAAGACCCTTCATTTTTAATAAGTTAAGCCTTTGTTTAGGATACTTTGGGAAATGGAAACTTTAGGAAATTCATAAACTGAAGCGCTGTATTGGTGGCAGTAGCTATTCCTACTCAGAACTTTTTTAGTTCTTTATACGGATCTAACCATTCTTGCAGGCTCAAATCAAACCATACCTCCTAAAGCTTTCTTTAGGAACTCTGGTGGTGTAGTGGTTACTCGTTGGGCTACTAACCACAAGGTCAACAGTTTGAAACCACCAGCAGCTCCTCAGGAGAAAGACTGGGCTTTCTACTCCCATGAACAGTTACAGTCTTGGAAACCCACAGGGTGTGGGTGGGGCGTGGGGGGAATGCGCACTGTGAGTCAGCATTGACTTGATGGCAGTAAGTTTTGGTTTTTCTTTAGGAAAGCTTTCTTTGAATATCTTATTCTACATTGATTCCCTTTCTTGGAATTATTATAACACTCTGATCCAATTGCCCAACAAATCTTACCACGTTTAACCCATCCTGTCCAGAGATGTACACATATATACAAACAGCTTAAATTTTTTTAGAGGATAGGCTATTCTTCACCAATTTCAGAGCTAACAAAATCAATAGTTCTGAGTGGTATCTTACCGAAAACTAATTTCGGTTAAATAGTGATTGCAACTTCTGAATTTCTAAATAGATTAAAAATAGATGCTTATAGTAGCAATCTGTCCAGTGGACATACAAACATCAGTCTCCGTGACCTGAGACCAGAAGAGCGGTACCTGGCTACCACTACCAACTGCTCTGAAAAGGGATCACATTACAAGGTCTTGGATAGAGGAGAAGGAACATGTGGATCAAAACTCAAGATCTGAGACAGCTTTCTGTCAAAGAGAGCCTGCTGAAACCCTGTAGAATATGGCCCTTAGTCACCCTTCAGGTCTAGAAATGAACTCACCCCATGGCTCAATTTTCAGCCCAACAATAGGTCTATAAACACAAAACCCACTACCACAGACGCATTGTGACCCTTATAGGACAGATTAGAGCTGTTCTTTCAGGTTTCTGAGACTGTAAGTCTTGATAGGAACAAAAAAACCTCATCTTTCTACAGAGGAGCAACTGGTAGATTTGAACCATGGAACTTTCAGTCAGAAGCTCATTGTGTGGCTTACTCTGCTACCATTGTTTCACAGGACTATAAGGGGACCAATAAACACCAGGGGTACGTACTACTAGCATAGTCAATGATTTGACATCAGAAGGGTAGCATTTACCCAAGGACAACATTCAGGAGGGTAAGGAAAGGTAGAATGGAAACAGATGGGGATTGCAATCAATGAGACGAAACAAAATATATAAATTGTTAAATGGAAAACTGAACTGCTATGTAAACTTTGTACCAGACTTACTAAGAAGTTTTTAAAAGAGAAAACTCCAGAGTGCTTGCTAAAACAGGATATTCCTCTTCCACCCCCTAAGTTTGTGACTTGTCTGATAATGTGACATTCCCAGGTCAGAGTGATGTGTGCTCTAGGACCACGGTCTGAACCCATCCCTTTAGGTAGTGGGGATTGACTAAGATTCTTAAGCATGGACAACGCTCCACGAAATTGCTTTAGGCTGAAGGGGAGAGCAAATGTTTTGAGAATGATGAGGGCAATGAATGTACAAATGTGCTTTACACAATTGATGTATACAGTGAACCCTCGCCACTTCGCGCTTCGACTTCCGCGGCTTCACTCTATCGCGGTTTTTGCATAACAGCGCATGCTCTGTCATTACTGCCACTGATTGGCTCATACTGTACACGCTTGATGCCATAAATAATATAATAAATAATAAATGATAATTGTAACGTCCAAAATGTTTTACTGTATTTTCCCTTTTTCGTTTAATAAATTGGGTAATACGAGTGTAATGGTGACTAAAGGGTGTTTTTTCATGTCCTCTATGCTCTAACTACGAAAATATTTGATTTACAAATAAGGAATCCTACTTCGCGGAATTTCATTTATCACGGGTCTAGAACCGATCGATTAACCGCGATAAACGAGTGTTCACTGTATATGGATTGTGATGAGTTGTATGAGCCCCTAATAAAATGATTTAAAAATAAAAAAATTAATTGCCTTAGAAAGATTATGTAACATGCAGACTAGAAGAGGGAATGATAAGAGTCATCATGCCCATTTTTCACAAGTCTGGTACATAAATAAATCTATGAAGTTGGCCTAAGTTATCCCACTTAGTCTTATCTACTACTATCACTTCTGTTAGCTCTGTCACTTAGCTTAACCTGTTTTATTTAGTCTGTGCCCAAGTGAAAAGTGACAAGTCTATACTGTCATTAATTTAGTCTCTTGGTTTTCTGCCTCTTTATTCTCTTTTACAAAGGTTTAAGGGCTGTGTTGATAGGTGGCCAGAGCTATAGTGTTTTTAGGCATTTTACTATACTCATTATTTTACTTTGGTTTTAGTCATTGCCTTTGTCTAAATAGAGGAAAACTTTTTATACTCTTCATTTCAGAATGGCAAACTAAAGCCCAAGAGTGTACTCCAGGAGAGGATGCTTCTGAAGTCAAAACAGATGTCATACAGACCATCAAATTGGAAGAATCCTATGACTACGATGACAGACTAGAAAGCCAAGCAGCAAAAGTCTTCAGGAAAATTCCCACAAATATGATTGATTTTAATTTAATGTCACTCCTTTCACAAGGTGATCTTCCAGTAGAGTGGCTTAGTAACTATGATATAGCTAGAAATAATTTTGAAGGGCACTCAAGCCTGATTTTACAGTTTGATAACGAATCAGATAATAAAACTTCAATATATAATGAAGGCATGGCAACCTTCAACCATATTGCATATGGTATTCTACATAAGAAAATATATCCTGGAGAGAAGCCTTACAAATGTAATGTATGTGGGAAAAAATTTAGAAAATACCCATCCCTCATAAAACACCAAAGTAGCCACACCAAAGAGAAATCTTACGAATGTGAAGAATGTGGAAAAGCATTTAGGCATATCTCCTCCCTCATTGCGCATCAACGAATGCATACTGGAGAAAAACCATATGAATGCCATCAGTGTGGTAAAGCCTTCAGCCAGCGTGCACACCTTACTATCCATCAGAGAATCCACACTGGAGAGAAACCCTACAAGTGTAATGACTGCGGGAAAGACTTTAGTCAGCGTGCACACCTAACTATCCATCAAAGGACACATACTGGAGAGAGACCATATAGATGCTTGGAATGCGGTAAAACCTTCAGCCACAGTTCATCACTAATTAATCATCAAAGAGTTCATACTGGAGAAAAACCTTACATATGTAATGAATGCGGGAAAACTTTCAGTCAAAGTACACACCTTCTCCAACATCAAAAAATACATACGGGAAAGAAACCATATAAATGCAATGAGTGTTGGAAAGTGTTCAGTCAGAGTACTTACCTTATTCGACATCAGAGAATTCATTCTGGAGAGAAGTGTTACAAATGTAATGAATGTGGAAAAGCCTTTGCTCATTCCTCAACTCTTATTCAACACCAAACCACTCACACTGGAGAGAAAGCTTATATGTGTAACATATGTGGGAAAGCATTCAGTCAGAGTGCAAACCTCACTCAGCATCATAGAACACATACTGGAGAGAAACCATATAAGTGCAGTGTTTGCGGAAAAGCCTTCAGCCAGAGTGTGCACCTGACTCAACATCAGCGGATTCATAATGGAGAAAAACCCTTTAAATGCAATATATGTGGGAAAGCATATAGACAGGGTGCAAATCTTACCCAACATCAAAGAATTCATACTGGAGAGAAACCTTATAAATGTAATGAATGTGGGAAAGCTTTTATTTATTCCTCATCACTTAATCAACATCAGAGAACTCATACTGGGGAAAGACCCTATAAATGTAACGAATGTAACAAAGATTTCAGCCAGAGAACATGCCTTATTCAACATCAAAGAATTCACACAGGAGAGAAGCCCTATGCATGCCGTATATGTGGCAAAACCTTCACCCAGAGTACAAACCTTATTCAACATCAACGAGTTCATACACGTATAAAACATCGTAATTAATGGATAGAGGAGGCTTCATCTTGGTGTTATAACTTAATCATTTAAATTTTTGTTTGCTCTCTTTGTGTTAAAACATTATTCAAAAGAAATCCAAAAGTGCAATATATGTCAGATAACACTCAGCAGGAACATCCAGTTTAGTAACAGATACAACCTAATTGTTATTTAATGTGGGGAAGAAAAAAAAACCTCGGTATTTTGAGCTTTATTTGATTCCAGTTTAACTTATTTGAGAAATAAACCCTATAGGAAGTAAATATATTTGAAAACGTATGATCTTCAAATCCTACTTTATTTCAAGTTCTTCTTAATGAGGCCTTAAAAATATAATTTGGGATAGCGTCCAACAATTGACATTTCACATAGTAATCCTGGGATTAAAAAAGAAAACCGCTTTCAGGTCTTTATTTCTTTCCAGCTTAATGCCTTAAAAAATGTGAAGAGTTCCCTCCTCTGTTTTTGCTAATGTCGTGTGGAGCTAGCCTATTTGAAAATAACAATAATTGAAAGTGTCCTGAAGATTCTATGTAACCACTGTTTATACTTTCCTCCAGATACTGAAATAGTAAGAGAAACAATGACAGATGATGTGTCAGAATAGAGAAATTAATATGTATATAACCTTCAAATATGTACAGATTTAAACAGGCAAAAATAAAATACCCCAACCTTAAGTTAATTCAAGACGGATTAGCCTTTGTTTCACTCGATTTTGACATCTAAACTGATCCTGAGGGTAAAAATAAGCATGCACCCCCCCATCGTTTTCACCTGATTCCTAGTCACACTGGGAACCCTGCGACCTCCGTCCAGCTCGCATTGAAACACTTGCTCCTTGAGTCCGTGCTGTGCTCACTGAAGCTTCAGTTGCTGAAAGCTGCAACTGATTGAAGTTTAAAAAAAGTTTTTAAGGAATAAAAACAAACATAAGGACATAATTTTAACTGCTTTGTCATGGAATGAACATAAAAACCTAAAACGGGTGTCAAATGCTACCTTGTCCCAAGACACGTAATGAAAGCTTTGTAAAGAATATATACTTAGTTGTATACAAAGAAAAACTGATGGGAAATAGATTTGAATTTACTACAGAAAGTGGATCAGGGGACAATTAAACTGAAGATCTAAAGTGTGTAAAGAATATAAATGTAACGCTTAGCACTGAATGTAATTGGGCATGGTTTGCCTAAGAAAGTGACTAGTTAAATAAAAATTCAGCCTCATATAAGAAGAAACTAAAAATGAAGTGAGTGATTTTTTTTTCCAGGGGTAATTAGAAGCGTGTTACTCCTTCAACATGTAAGTAAAATAGGGTTATGCTCGATAGTGGGGAAAATGATATTTCATTAGAAAAACACATTGATACACAAATTATCATTGATTCATCAAACAGCAATTAACTATGTTTGTGGACCCTAAACAACATCAGAGAAGGAAAACTAGCAAATAAAAATAGGTGTCAAATAATCTGTATTTAATATCCACAGTATTCTGTCAAAATATAGACTATAAGGCCATAATTTGGCCGCCATTTCTCTGCCTTCCGTCTTCACAATGTCTTCTCAAAAGACTTCCAGGTTCAAGAGAGTCCTGGCCAGGGAACAAAAGCATCCTCGACCCATTCCCCAAGGATTCGAGCAACAAACGTGTAATATGGAACAACTCCAAGAGGACATTGGAGAAGAACCAACTTGGATCTGTAAGGGATCTCCCATGTGCTGGCACACACGGCTTTTACCTAGGTTCTCTACCATGGTGTTTATGATTCCAAATTGAGAGGTGAACAACTAATAATGTTTGGGGAGAAAAAATTAATGAAAGCTGAGTTCATCTTGCCTCATACTTGTCTTTTGCATGTAGGAGATGATAAATGTGTTGGTTGAATTCATGAATAAATATGTAGAAATTAGAGATGAGAATAAAATAAAATTGACATGAAGTGAAATTGTAAAATTAAACATTTTTCTTTGTGCATACATGCAAAGAAATACTTATCAAATATGAATCATTTACTGGATAATAGGAACTGCTTAAAAATTATGAAGAATCCGAAGCTCCAAATCTTAATGGTGATAGTTCTGTAAAAATGAGACACCTTTTGCATAAGGAAATTTTCCTGGCCTAGATAAGGGAAGCTGATGTAAAATCTGATAAGCTGAATATCCACGTAAGCATTTATTGTCCGTACCGTTTCATTTATGCTTATGTTTATAGAAACCTTTTGCAAACATGCTGAAAATGGGCCTGGGATACTGTTCGCTTTAAGGCTTTCTTGTTGAGTGTTTTCACCAAGAAGTTGTTGCTTTTCCTTGTCCTTATGTTGCTTCACTTCATGGTATCGTCCTTCAAAAGGTACAAGGTCGTCTCCAGGTTCATAATACTCAAATGATGTGTATTCCATAATTGTGTTTCAAAGTTATTTTCAATATGCAAGGGTGTTTTTGTGTTTTTTTAATGCTGCTTCATGTCTTAAATTTCTCTCTTGAAGTGTGGAATACTACAAGTCATGTTTATGTTTATTTGTATTCTTGCCTTTGTATTTTATGTAAATAATGCATTTATAAAGTCTTCCACTGATATATTAAAGCAGTTGATAATCTCATTAAATAGTAGAATAAGAATGAAGAAACCTACATTTTGTGTGTTTTTCCCACTTTTACAGTTTTCTGACCCACATGTTCAACGAAAGTTTTTTAACATCTAAGAGTATTTTATTTTTTCATACTTTTTATTAAGATAGTTTTCAAATAAACAGAAAAGTGTGAGTGACAAAGTCAACTAGATAATCAGCATCTAGATTTGAAAATTAAAATTTTGCTGTAATAGCTACTAAGCAATGTAAGGTAACTTACAAACAGGACATTTTACCCCTATATACTTACGGATGCATCTCATTAAAATAAGGAGTGCTTTTTACATAAACATAAGACCATTACCTACCTCAAATAGTAGTAACCATAATATCTAACACATAGTTCATGTTTAAAACTTGTTTGTTGTATTGATTCAGTCATATTGCACACATTACATTTGATTAGTCTGTTTCATTTACCTAGAACCTCTAATATCCTTTGTTTTTCCAAAAAATTTTTTTTGTTATTTTTTTTTCTTGTGAGGCAGTGAGTGAGTGAGAGAGTGAGTCCCAAAAATTTTTAAGAGATCAAGTCAATTGCTTTGTAAAATGCCCCATATTCAAAATATAACTGATAATTTTTGGGTCATTTATCTTGTTTCTGGATGCCCTACAGTTTCTATGAATTAGAAAGCCCAAAGTCTTGATTCAAGTTCAATGTTTTTAGCACTACCTAAATGTATTTCATAATGCATCACACATAAGTCTCAATATCAGGTTGACTCATCACCAATTGTGTGAAATTTTATCACTTGTTTATAACGGTATTTCTAAGTAAATGTATGGGGAGGGGCTTCAAAAAACTTTCGGAAAAGTTTAATTTAAAAAAATTGGAAATTTTCCATGAACTTTTGAAGCCTCATATTTTTCTATTTCCAGTTAATCTGTGAACTGACATTTTGGAAACATGAATATTCTGTTTTTCAATAACTTTTCATGATTGGCTTTAGTATCCATTGATGATCCTTGCCTGAATGAAATTTAACTAAGATTTGCAAAATCATATTTTTAAAAATTATCCTTTGTACATTTATTGACTGATTCTCTTCTAAATAAGAGCTTTTTCTCATCAACTATGAGCAGGTAATGCTCAATTTTTTTATCACCAATTTTCAGAGTAAGGAGTTGGTATCTGCAATGATGACACATTATTCTGCTATTGTCAATTATGAGCATTGTTTATGTTGCTCGTACTGTCCCAAATATGTCATTAGAGCCACTCAACTGCCTTTAGACAATTTAGTCTTTAAGCATTCAGTTGGCTTCTGATCCAAGACATCGCGGGCTCACCTTGTACTTTGCATCCTGCATGTGAAATGGGACATTTCTCTGCGGATCCCTGATTTCTTTTAAGAGACGCTATTTAAAAACTAAGATCTAGACCACGAGCATGCTCGTTACTATTGGAGTGCTATGAACTAGGAGCCTTTTTAGGCTTTCCAAAGTGTTCAACTTCGTTTTCATGAAGACGATGCTCAGCATTCATTTCATCAGTTGCATAATATCTAATTATGTAATAGCGGGTGTAATTACATAGCTGGGATAAACTATTTGGGGAATAAACAAATGTTGTTAAGTATACACCTAACTTGGGAAGAACAGAAGTATTAGTTATGAGAAAGCAATGAACTTAATCACAGTAAGTTTTGTGCCCATGGCTGTCAGCATTTTACAGAAGGAATAGAGAATGTCAGTTAATCTGGCAAATGTGTTCAAGAGAAGGCAGTTATGAGAGCAGCTTACGTGTATGATACCTGGTGTTTAATGGTTTAACTATACCTCTGACTTGCTTAATAATTTGCTGTATTTATAAGCTAATCACAATTATCTTCCTTTACATTTTGTACAGGTTTCTGATAAGATTTAAATTTGAATACTGGTAATCTGTACCATATAAATTGAAGCACTCACTTTTTTGGCTAAATCTTTGGTCTTTTAACTTTAAGACTATTATGTTTCATTCTTTGACTGCCTTCTTTTTTCCTGAACGGTTTGCATGTCTGTGATGTATATGTACTCTTGGTCCTCTATTCCTGACATTCTTTCCAGGCTCTGTCTTTCATCCTTGGGCCAATAACCATTAAGAACTCTCTCTCTGGCCTCTTCTCCCACTAGGTCTTCTTGGCATCGCTGTTTGACTCATGCTGATCAGCAATTTCAAACTACTTATACTTTCTGAAGTGTTCACGGTAGTTTCAAGCCTCCGCACTTCTGCATGGACCCTGGAATGCATTCTCCCCTGCTCTTTGGTCCCTTCCCCTGATCCAAAGATGGCTTGTTCTGTAACTTTGAACTTCCCGTGCCAGTATCACCTATCATATTGTATTTAATAATTTGCTTATGTGTCTGTTTCCCTTGCCAGGCTTTAAGATTTCTAAGGTCCAGAATCTTACTCATTTCTGAATTAAGAAAACCCACTTATCACCTTTGCTTGTCAACATTGTACTAGAGATCTTTATCAAAGTAAAAGAAAAAAAAATATTTAGATTATTGGTAAAGTATTTATGAATGAAATTGTATGATGTTGGGTTTTGCTTGTAAACGATACAGAAAGCAAGAGGAATGAATATCGGACAGAAAAAGAATGGGCCTCAATTGTTGAAGCTAGGATGGATACATGCAGGTTCATTATATTCTTTATTGTTGATTATATTCTTAATTTTTGTGTATGTTTGAAACTGTCTATAGTATAAAAATTTTATATATGTATAGATAATGAAGACGTTAGAGAATGAACAGGAAACGTATCAGACCCAAAAAGAGTTTGAAATGAAAGCCATATATAAGGTCAACAACAAAAATCAGTAACTATGTTACACATCGGCAGTCGTCAATTGGAGAATGTAAGGAAAAGAAAGACACTTTCACAGTAACACCCACAAGATGCTAGAAGGAACCCAGTAATGAATTTTTAATTAAGCCCTACAGAAGATAAAACTGTACTGAGAAACAAAGGAAATATGATTTGGGGTATGGGCATAGGAAAAAGTATATTGAAGCTGTCAATTTTCACTTACCTTGAATTAATTTGTTTGGAAATTGATGTTTAAATTCAATATCCTAACAGAATATTGAATGAAAACTCATAACCTGAATCTTACATTTGTATGGGAGAAAAGGGTTTTTGAAAACAAAACCTGGTCCTATGAAAAGAAAGCAAAAGTTTTTAAAACTCAAAAACTAGCCAAAGGAAATAAAACAAAAATTGCCACTAGCAATGGGAGAGTAACATTACTACAGATCTCATTAATTTAAAAAAATAGGGAATTCATCCAAATAAATTGAGCAAATTAGATTAATAGACCAATGCTTTAAGCTAGGTATTTTCAGACTAGGGTCCACCAAGCAAAATCGAGGGTAGAAGGGAAGAGCTGAAACCAGGATTACGTTAATGCCTACATACTTGAATTGCCCTGGTACCAGCACTACCACGTATGTACTTGTGTCCTACCTCCCCACCACATCCTTCCCTCATCCAAAAAGTAGACAATGTTTCCATCAGTGAACCATTAAAAAAAAACAACCTCACTGCCATCAAGTCGATTCTGGCTCTTAGGAACCCTGTAGGATAGGGTCAAACTGCCCTGTGGGCTTCCAAGATTGTAATTCTTTTCAGAGTAGAGAGCTTCATCTTTCTCCCACAGAGTGGCAAGTAGGGTCAAACTGCTGGCCTGTGTTCAGCAGCACAATACATAACTGTTATGCTGCCAGGACCCCTATAAACCATAAAGTCCCAGAAAAAAAGACCTCTGCCTACTCACAATTAGGAGTGTTACATTGAAGAGAGAGCCCCACAGCGTACCAGCCTATGGAAAAAGACAGTAAAGCTCACCAACAAACACGCTCACTCACATCTGAAAATGCACCTATCCAAGAATTAACACGTTTATGGAAAGCTTCCTGATAAAGGAAAATATACAGAGGTATACACATACAGTAAAAAGAATTAGGAAAAAGAACATGCTGGAAATATTTGAAAATTTATAATTCTCCTCAGAAATTTAAGAAAACAATTAAAAACCATCAGAATGAGAATTATTTTGGAATTTAGTAAGTTCAGTAAGGGTGATGTTTAAATTCAAGATTATCTCTAAGAAAACAAAGGGCAAGAAAATGGAAACAAATATTAGAAAATTAAGTGAATTTAGAAGGCCACAATCTGGCTAATAGTAACTACAGAAATTTTAAAAGATCAGAAATGATCAAATATAAGAAAATGTCCATAATAGAAGACTATTAATTATGCAAATCTTCTAATAGAACAAAGTGTTGGGAGAAAAGGAAGAAGAAAAGCTTATATTCAGAGACGACCATAGTGGGAGAAGAGGAACTAGATCAGTGTCTGGAACCCCGAATGAACTACAGTTGGAATGTTTTAAATTACAAGTCTAGACTATAGAAGAATCAAAAACTTGTTAGCAGCCACCAAAGTGTAACCATTGGTCTCCCTGTCTAAAGGAAAGAAAAAGTATGAGCATTGAAAGACTTGGGAAACAATTAGTTCAGGGGACAACTAGGCACCCAAACTTCCGCCTATGCAACTCTGAGGCCAGAAAAGCTCCATGATACCACTGCCACCCGCTCTGAAAAGAGGATCCCATTAGAAGATCCTGGGTAGAGTGGAAGGAAAATGTGGAAGTCAATCAAAATCATAAAAGTCCTATGGAGATCGGTAGAATCCCCAAGACTGATCCTTAGACAGCCTTCAGGCCTGGACCTGCTCCCGCCTGTTTTGGAATCTACAACCATTTACAATCAGAAGGAGCCCTGGGGGTGTAGTGGTTACAAGTTGAGCTGCTAACCTGAAGGTCAGCTGTTCAAAACCACCAGGCGCTGCTTGGGAGAAACAAGGCTCTTTGCTCCCATAAAGAGTTAGTCTCAGAAACCCACAAAGACAGTTCTGCCCTGTCTTATAGGGACTCGAATTGGAATCAACTCATTGGCCGTGCATCTGGTGTGTCTGGTAAGATCACAAGGGCAGCCTTTACTCA